GATATATATGTGGATATTATTTATTTCAAGTTACCAAAATAATTATTTTTAATTGTCAAAACAAAGTATCCTCATTTTTAATATCCCAATTAATATATTTCTGAAATGTTTGGTATTATACTTCAAAGTTGTTTACAATTAGTACAAACTACTAACATTAAGTAAATACCTAATAACAATAATTAAAATATTAATGGTTATATTAATAAAAATAATATTTATAATAATAAACATAAGAATCACAATATTAGTAAAAAAAAACAAAAAAAACATTACCAAGAATAATAATAAAAATAATGATAAATTACTTGTTTTTATAAACGCAATATATATATATATATATATATATATATATATATATATATATATATATATATATATATATAAATACATATACATATATGTATATATATATATATACATATATATATATATATATATATATATATATATATATATATATATATATATATATATATATATATATATATATATATATATATAATATATATATATATATATATATACACAAAGTTAGAAAGTTACAAACAGTTAAAAACTGGTAAATATAACAACTAACGATGACATAAAACAATTAGTTAAATAGAAAACAAGAAAACAGGAAAAATAACAATAAAACTAAAAATAATAATACCAATTTTAACAATATTTATAATAGAAATAAACAGTTGCAAAAAGTTTTAAAATAAGAAAAAGTATATTTAACATTAAAAGAAGTCGAGTCAAAACTGAAAGAAAAAAAAAAAAAACACAACAAAAATAAAAAATATACATAAATACACTTACACATGCGTACACACAAACATACTTATTCTAACAAAAATACACATACGCGCCTACATACATTCACATACAAATATAGATACACATACACATTTAGATATACAGTTTTATAAATATACACAACTTGTCCTACCATCATTAAACAAACAAAAAAAAATGGATTAATAAAGAAATGTCAAACTATAAATTATTGTCATAATTTTTAATAAATGAAACAAAAATATTCTTGTTATCTAAAAATCCCTTCGTTACGACGATTCAATCAGTGTTCATAGTAAAAATTTAAACATCTTTTTCAATATTTATACACATCAATGTCAAACCACTCAATTAACAATGAAAACCGTTCAAGGATAATTGAATTTTATTTAAATGGAAATTCACCATCATAAATTGCAAATATTCTTGAATTTAAACGATTTATATCTATACAATTATTAAAAAATATATATAAATAGTTTACCGACAAAAAGGCAATTAAAATGTGGTTCTAGACACAAAAAAATAACTGACGATTCCAAGATACTACTCAAAATTTAGATTAATGATAACTGTGGAATAATTGTCTATTGTGCAATGAACTAAAATGGAATTTTGAAGTATGAAGCACAAACAACCCAATGGGCACGGGACGTAAAAAGACGTCTTTAAAACGCCTTTTAAATATTTTAAACGATTTTTTCAGGTCCTGTGCCCACTGGGAAGAGTATTTAATGCAGAAACTTATTTATATTTTATTTCTCTAGTATTAAGGTTAATATTATTTGATACCAGTTAAAAATTTATTTTACTTGTTCGAAAATTACCACTGTTAAACAAAGATCTAAGACGCAATATGTTTCTTAAAGTCCATTTTTTGATGTCACACGTGAGCTTTTTTCCTGATCGTAATTTATTTTCCGTTAGCACGATAAAAGTTTTCATCAAAATATTTATTTTATAGAGAAATGCTGCGATAGCAAATGGTAACCTGGAATTCTAAGCAACTTTTAAATGATACAACGCAATGTTTCTTATATGAATTTCAAGCTGGTTTCTTCAGTCAAACCTTTTTAGATATAGCATTGTTACAAAGAAAAAATCTGCGTTACGCAACAACCTTGCTTGGTATTCAATTAAAAACATAAACTTTTTGACGGGATAAATCCAGTGACGGATCCAGTTTTTTTTGTTTATTTTGATGGGGGGAGGGGCTGGGGTTATTAAAATATTTGTATGTTTTGTCACTCAATGACAGCCTTCCTTTCAATATGTGTATACTTTATAGACATAAATTTTATATATAATATGTATATTATATACCTTGTATATACCTTGTGTATATACTTTGTGCATATACCTTGTGTATATACCTTGTATATATACTTGTGTATATACCTTGAGAATCTTTTTCAAAATTAAAATTTAAAAAAAAATGCTTTTGCTCAATCCACAAGGTCAAACCACAGTGCTAACCATCATTCGGACTACTTTCCTCTCGTAATAAAACATAATGACAAACACCTTTTAAAGATATTATATCTGAATTTGTATCCTAGAAAAAAAGAAAAACGGAAACGGCATTTTTGATTTAATTATTATTCTATTGAATGCGTTAAAAAGAAATTTCAAGTTCTTATTATTATACATTACATTTGAATCTATATGTATATATTTTTAAAAAATTAAGTTTTTTTTAATAAAAAATTAAAAAAATTAGCCTTAGAAAATAATATCTTGAAATAACATCTACAGTAACAAGAAATATCTTGTTGCTGTAGATGTATATATATATATATATATATATATATATATATATACATATATATATATATATATATATATATATATATATATATATATATATATATATATATATATATATATATATATATATATATATATATATATATATATTTATATATATATATATATATATATATATATATATATATATATTTATATATATACATACATAAAATATTTAAAACGCGTAGTTAGACACACTTAACAGGGTCGACGACACGGATTTTCAAGTGGGGAGCACAATCATCAGTTTGTATAAAAAAGTCTTTTTTTTTTTCTTTCTGAAAAATCAAGATTTTTCAGAAAAAAAAAAATAAGGCCCTTTAGAAAAAAAGTCCCCTGCTCCCCCCCTGGTGTCGTTGACCCTGCTTAAACAGGTAAATTTATTTCAAATTAACAAAATATCTGATCATTATCTGATTATTAAACAATTTTGACTCATTTTTAACTTCATCCTTACTAATAATAAGTTTATTATAACTAGAAAAATTATTAGTAATGAATTTTGATAGTTTAAGTAAAAGTTAATTTGATTGGAATTCCAGATGTGCTGTGGATGAAGGTTCTCGTATATTCTATAAAACTCTTTTTATAACTTTAGAAAATCTGAAAGGATTTTAGTTTTCAATATTAAAGGCTTTAACTTCAATAAATCTTAAAATTCAATCTTTACAAGACGCACATTGAAGTCCAAGGTTCAAAAATAGGGGAAATTATCTGTCGAGCATGTTCAAACGTATTATGTTACAGATTCAAATTTACTAATCCTAAATATATTTTAACTAAATGCGGTGAGTAGATTTGAATATTTAATACGTTTTAATACGTAATATGAGGAAAGTATCATTTCCTCATATTAAAACGCATGGATTTACTAATTGGAAAAAAAAGTTTATAATTTTATTAAAAGCAATTTTAAAAATTTTTTTGAATTAATTTCTAGGTTCAATTTACGAAGGGTTGCATTTTTGCTATTTTTATTGGCTTTGTGTAACTTAATATAATAACGTGGAATTATTATATTAAGTAACACCAAGTATTAATATATAAGTATTTTAAATTTCTAATGTTTTGGGTTAAACATTGTTGCCAAAAAGTTAATAGCTACCATAAAAATCAAGTACTTGTTTATAATCTTTATTTTTTACTGAATGTAAATATTGCTTTGAGCTCACTTAATTTTTAAACGCAGAAAACAAATATACTTTTGCAACTTTTGTTTTTGTAAAATTCCATTTAATTTATGAAAGCATTAGACTGAACCATTGTTCGCATTGTTTAGTAAAGTAAACTTAAGTTGTCAAGCTAATCATAGTTAATATAATACGTCAAGTAATGTAATCATGCAATAAATCTATAAATGTGTTGATAAGTTAATTGATTTTTTTTGTGTGTTTTGAAATGCATTAGTGATCTTTTTAATAACGTATCTAGGGAAATTTATTTTTTTTCATTCAGATAAATTACGAAGATGCTTTTATTACTTCTTTTTTATATTTAGTTTGTTTTTTTACTTTTTTTAATTTAGATGAAATTGAAATTGCAACTAGTGGATATATATATATATATATATATATATATATATATATATATATATATATATATATATATATATATATATATATATATATATATATATATATATACAATGTTTTTGTGTTTGTCATTGATTACAGTCGTATCTAATTAAAATCAAAAAATATGTAAAAATAAACATAAAGTTTTGTTTTGACGAAAAGTAAATTTAAATAAATACTTTTTTAAAAAACTTGTAACTTGTTTTGACATAAACAAGTTTCAATTTTTATAAATTTAAGCAACGTAGCAACAAAAACATCTTTCAGATTGTTGCCAGCTTCGATAACCTTATTATAAAACACTATTGCTGGCGACAAGCCTTAAGATTGATTAAATATATACCTACAAAAGTTATATCGCGAATGTGCAAAGCAGCTTTATTATTATTTTTGTCTAAGCAACCATTTAATGTTAAATAATCATTTCTTCAGTTTAAACTAATTAGTTAGATTCAAAATAAAAATATTTTTTGAAAATATTTTAAATATATTTAAAATATATATTTTGAATATATCTGAAAATATTAAATGTAATAATAGGTAAATGAGTAAGTAGTTATATAAACTATTATTATTAAATAAATAAGTAGTTATATAAATTATTACAAAATGTTAATTACTTTTTATGAAATTTAAATTTCCTTTTTTAAATATATTGTTTTTTAACTAATAAAAACGGTAATTAAGGTTTGTTTTACTTAAGATTTAGTGTTTTTAAAAACAAAAAGATTTATTTAAATGTTTTTGTGATATAATTACTTACTATTTTACAATCAATATGGTAGCATTATAGCAGTGTTAAATAATTTAGAATTTTTTTCTGTGAATATTTAGAATGGATCTAAATAATTTAGCTATCGAACTATTTAAACAATTTGATCCAGATAATAAGGGATATATCACGCAAGAACAGTTGATAAATGGTAACAATGCTGATCACGAATCATTTTCATTTAATCAAATTTCATGTATTTTTTCTCTTTTGGACAAAGAAAATAAAGGTATAATTACGCTCGCTGATTTTATGGATGCATTTATTGTAGTTTCAGACTCAAATAAAGACCTTCAAAACACTTTAGTGGAAGGAGGTTATGATGAAGAACATTTAGAAATTCATGTTAACGGTTTACTTTATCCTAACAATTCAAATAATAAAACTAATTCTTTACTTCATTTAAATAATTCAGAAAAAAACTATGATAAAAATTTTGATTTGAACGATTATAGCATTTTAAATAACGATATTTATAAAAACAAATTATCCATCAAACCAAATAAACTAGAAGACCAAAAGGATTCAATTCCTATAATATTTGAGAGTTTAATTCAAGATAAAGACAATTTCCAAGAATGGAAATCTTTTGAGAATAATGATGACTTTAAAATTCAAAAACCTCCCAGTAATTGCAAAACTTTAAACCGAAAAATATCTGGTCGATGTAATTCACTGGATAGAAATTTGTTAAAAAGAAAATCTAGTGACTCGATAAAAAAAGAATTAGACGAGATATTTAAACCAGTTGGAAGTTTTACTAACAATATATCGTGTCGATCTTCGTTTGAAGATATTTCTAAGGATCGATTTTCATTAAACCACTCTTTTTCTCACAACTACAATCATTCTAATATTATTTCAGGAAGAAACAGTTTATCGCCTAACAGTAGCTCATCGGAAGATTTGTTTTATGCTGACGAATTAACTAACGAAGAATGGGAATCTTATTTAAGAAGAATAGGAGGCGTGGCATTGTTTGGTGGGTGAGTTTTAATTTATATTGTAAATATTTTTAAGTTTATATGTTTATATAAACTTAAAGAAATATTTAACATGACACTAAGCTAGAATTCCCAAGTACTTAATGTGTAGCTATATATTTAAGTATATAATACAATTATTGAAAAGGTTTATCCTGATCAATTACCCCGAATCTCTAATAAAAAAGTACTTTAAAATGCCTAATAATAAAAATTTTATTTATCAAATATATAATCAAAATCTAACTGCTATTGTGTCACCAGTTCTAAATAAAAAGTTTTTAAATTTTATAAATTGTTTAAGAATACATGAATCAGCGGCAAGTTTTTTTGGAATTTATAAAAGTTAAAATATTTAGGAAAAACTCTAAATGATAGCATTTAGATTGTGCTTATTGGTGTCAAATGACGGTATTTTGTAAAAAAGTTACGTTTACCAAAAACTAGCCAAAGTAGTTTGTGCATCTCGCAAAGTACTTGTGTGTCTCGCAGAAGACACTTTGAGACTTTTGTGATTTTTATTATTTCAACCTAATAATCACAAATTTTGCAGAGATGGCTTACAACACATCTAAGTTATATATCTTCTATTTTTTTATCTTTTATTAAATAACATCTTATTGATACAATATATTAAATTTTTTTTTTATTTTAACTAAAAAATTTAGTTATTTACTTTCCAAATAAACATATTAGAAAAAAATATATCAGGAAAATTTTTAGTTTTTTTTATTTTATTTGAATTTTGAAAGATAGATACAATTTGTTCTCAAGAACGTTGCTGCCTCTCTCATTAAAAAGTAAAATTAGCGATGTTCTAATAATAAGTAAGGTAAAATAATTAGGTAAGTTGAAAAAAACGCAACGCTAAAGGAGTAAAAGATGTATTTTTGTTGTTATTGCTTTTCAACCTCCTCTAAAGAAGAAAAAGGAGTGCTCTACATAAAAGAAAAAGAAAAAGGAGTGCTCTACATAAAAGAAAAAGAAAAAGGAGTGCTCTACATAAAAAGCTTAAATTATAAAAATCATAAGCATAAATCATAAAACATAAATCATTTTCATTTCAAAAACCTCTATCTAAACAATCAAATGAAGTTCATTTCACCTACAAAAACTTTCATACACAAAAACTTTTATCTAAACAATCAAATGAAGTTCATTGCTTTTTTTAACTCTATTTCAAATATTTTAAGGACTCAGATAATACTCTTTTACTTGTGTAAATAAAGTTTACTATAATTAGAAATGATCAAAAAAATATTTTAGATTAAGAATAGATTGACAAAGTTAACTGTCATCGATAACTATTTATAGATTATTTTTTATGAGTTGATGTTTATAATTAGTTTAATGAGCGTTTAAACGTAAATACAATGCAAATACGTCATTCTTTAGGCTTCTTAGGAATTTAGCATTTTCACTTTTTTTTCCATATTATTTTTTTTAAAGAAAATTTGATATTGGTATTAATATTTCAACGAAACATTGGTAAAAAATTTTATCGAAATATAATGAGTCTAAAACTGCAAGATTAACATAAAAAGAGGTTTCTATTTAAATAAAAATTATTTTTCTTTTTTTTTTGATACATTTATACTTACAGTCTGCTATGAGATCGATCAAATCAAATTTTGTAAAAAAGTACGAATTTCTTGTTAATTTATTATAAATCTTTTATGCCATTTGCAGAGGTGTGAAATTATTCAAAAGTTCTTTTTAAGGGAGAGTTTTTTTGTTGTTGTTCACTGGATAAGTGGCGTATAGAGGATTTTTGATGTTTCAGATATCTTAATCATTGTGCAAACTTTAAGCTTAGGTATGCTCATGCTTATATCAAATAAAAATGTTTTGCAAAAAATTGCGTTTAAGGTTTGTTGTAGAAATGTAAAATTGTCTTAGAAATTGTGCCCCTTCACTTTGAAAGCCATGTCGTCAGCGCCAAAATTTACAGTTATAAATATAATTACGACAGAGTGTTCACAATTAAGATTTTTAAATGAATTTTAATTATATTTTATTAAAGGATTTTCAAAAGTTTAACTAGCTAATCCATTTCACTTTTTAATAAAGCATTCAATAACTATGCCACAGATTGTTAACAGTTGATTTGTTATTTATGTTATGGAAAAGAGATATAATGACTAGCTGGAATGAAAACGAAGCCAAAAATAGTTTAAAATTGTGGTACTGTCTTAATAGTATAATTATTTCAACGGCAAGTTAAAATGGCGTCTATGCGTTGAAAAAGAAAAATGTTGAAATGTAGTTTGTAACATTTAAAAGCTGTAAACGAAATGGAATGTCCTCTCAAAAGTCTAGAAAATTTTTTAACAACTGTTTGAACAAAGAGTAGTCACAATAAAAATCACGAACGTAATGTTATTTTTTTCCTCAATACTAACTATAAAGTTTACATATATCGAGGAAAAAAATTACTTTACGTAGATCGTGATTTTTATTGTCTAAAACTATGGCATTTATACTATAAATACCATAGTTTGAGACAATAAAAATCACGATCTATACATAAAGTATAAAAAAAAGTACCAACTCCGACTCTAATTGTTGAAATTTTCAGAGTACGACTCCGACTCCAACTCCGATTCCGACTACGACTCTATAGCAAAAATTTTTGAAAAATTTATTTATTTCTTTAAAAAATATTACGCAATAAATGAGTTTTTTTTTTTTTTTTTTTTTTTTGCCAAATATATGAAAAGTTCTTTGGAAGTTAAACAATTTGTACATGCATGTGCAATACCGAGAAATTTTATTCTTGGAGTCGGAGTCGCAATTTTGTTTAGCGACTGCAACTCACACTCCGACTCCGCTAAAAATTTCGCGACTCCGACTCCACTACTCCGACTCCGAATCTGACTTCACAGCCCTGCTCAATACTATGTATAAATATATCATAGTTTTAGACAATAAAAATCATGATCTACGTAAAATAATTTTTTCCCTTAATACTAGGTATAAAAATCAAAGTTTTAGAATTTCTACTACTTGTTTAAGCTCTTATCTTTTCCTCTCCCGTTCAGCAATAGGTTTGTTCCATTCATAAAGATTTTTTTTTCAGCAACAAGATTAATACATTTTTCAAGGATTTTATATTGCACTGTAGTATTTTTGATGGATTTAAAAATAAATTGTTAAATTTTAAATAGCGTAAACCATTTGCGAAAAAACAAGATATGTTTTCCATGTAAAATCATTAAAAATATCATATGATACCAGGCGATGGATAGCCGACATTCCGGCGCAACATTTCTAATGAATGATTTTGAAGTGAGAGTCCCATTTAAGGTCATTTTGTAAAGTCACCCCAAAAAGTTTAATAGTGGACTGAGTTTCTAACTTACTGCCAGCGACAGTTATTCAACCCCTTGTCACCCTCTAAGGAAAAATTGATCATTTGAGTTTTTTCATTATTGACATGCATTTTTGAACGTAGTGACCAACTTAGCAAATTATTCACTTCTTCCTGTGTGTTATCGATGTTATTACAGCCAACATAATGTAATAGTGTGGTGTCGTTTGCGTACAAGTTTAATAGACTTCTTGAATTATTAAGTACCGACATTCCGTTAACTATCATAGTAAAAAGAAATGGACCTAGAGCTGACCCCTGACAAACTCCATTCGATATATTGGTCCAAGGGATGGAGTCTGGAGAGATACCAGAAACAATGACTTTTTGAGATTGATGACCAAAATAGGATTTAATCCAAGTTGTACCAGAGTCCGGTAAATTAAAATCATTTTTAGCTGTGAGAAGGACAACAAGATGAGAGATTGCTTTTTTAAAAACAAATGCTTTTTAAATTCGAATACTTTTTTAAAATCGATACTAATACATCGAACATAACCACCTGAAGATATGAGTTTGTTTAAAGTCCAAAGAACCATCATTGTAAGAGCATTATTTGTGCCTTTATAAGGGCCGGGAACGAAAGCGAATTGAAACGTATTAATTTTTTTCTGAAGTGAAGGTATTAACCACTGTTTGAGTGGAATCTTCTCTAAGATCTTAGCAGTGTTGCAAAGCAATGAGATAGGACGATACTCGCTGTTTTTCTTTTTAATTGGAACCACATGAGCTTTTTTCCATGCAGATGGAAACTTAAGTTGAGAAAAGCTACGATTGAAAATGAGCGTTAAGGGGGCAGCCAAAATATTGGCGTAATCTCTGAGAATAGTTCCAGGGATACCGTCTGGTCCACTGGCTGATGATTTAATTTTTATTAATTCTTGGTAGACAAGGTATTCATTAGTTTCATAGAAGGTTGCATGGTCGTAATTGTTGTTATTTATGATAAAGTTATCTATATCCTCTGGCTTGAACATCTTCGCAAAGGAATCATTTATTTCGATGGCTTCCGATAGAGTAAAATGTTTAGGTTGTTGACGAGGCTTAATAATATTGTTGATAGCATTCCATTTTTTTTGATACTGTAATCTTTGTTAAATTTAATACGACCAAGCTGACGTTTTGAGGTTGCTATAGCCGAAGCAAGTTCTCGCAGAGCGATGTATATTTGTTGATGTTTTTTATGGTAAGCACGATCTTTTTCTCTTTAAGATTTTAATTTGAGGAGTTATCCATAAAGGATCGTCGCTTTTTATTGTAACGAAACACATAGAAAAACACTTGTTAATCAAATTATATAAATACTTGCTATAACGCAAAACCATGATGTCAACATCATCGTCACTTTGAAAGAACGTTAACCATTTTACTCTTAGTAAGTTTTCATGGAAGATAGCATGAGCCTTAACACAATATTTTCTTATAGAAATCTTCCACGATTTAGGTGGCAATACTTTAATGGAATCTAGCGTAATAGTACAGTGATCAGAGCAACCCAGTGGACTGAGCTTCTTTGCAAGGTTACAGCTCCGGAACGTTAGTTGCAATGATGTCGAGTGTGTTACCCCCACGTGTTGAGAACGTTACAAGTTGACTGAGTGAGTTAGAAGTAAAAAAATCATCGTAGTACTTACGAAGATCGTTTATTTCGCCACATAACATAAAGTATTCGTATCTACCTATATTTTGATCAATAAAATGTTGTTAAAGATTTATGGTTTTCCGATGGATTGATTTATTTCCCCAATACAGGTAATATATGGCAACGATAAGCGCATTTAGTGCAGGAAATCTGACTGCAAGGATATCTGTTTTTGATGCATTGGGAACTCTTATTTCTAATTGACAAAAATCGAAGATAGAACGAAAATAGACTACTAGACCACCACCGTGTTTATTTCTATCTTTTCTCAGCAGAGAGTAGTCTTTCAATCCAACCAACCCATCAGGAATGGACGAGTTGAGCCAAGTCTCGCTTATAATTAATATATCGAATTTATTATCATTGTTTTTTAACCTGAGCTCGTCGATTTTGTTTTGCAAGGAGTGGGCGTTAGTGGCTAAAATTGAAGGCATTCTTATAGCTATATGACAATTTTTTGAAATCTGAGAATTAGCGCAAACATTTTCACGATTTTTTTAAATTACCATCATATTTAGGAGGCAGACTATTTATGATGTTTTTGCACTTGGCGTAGAAATGAGGTTTAGGCTGTTGAGTGTCATGGACATTTATTTCATCGTATATATTTTTGGCAACAGGACCCACTTTCTGTGCAAGTATTGCTATTGCTTTTGTGGGTATTTTTGCAATTCCAAATATTAAAATGAAATAGTTTTTTGCGGCATCTCCTTGTTAAAGCGGAATTTATATAACGCAGTTCCATCAGGTTAAACGTTATAAAAAAGAATTTTCTTGGCTTCTATATTTTTTAAATATTTTATTTTTGTTTATAGATAAGGATAATGAAGGAGTACAATGAATTTGGTTAATGGAGATAAAATTTATTTTTAAGTTGCGTTCGACTAATGATCTGGATGCTTCTTTTGCTAATACATTTATATTGATACGGTTGGTATTTAATGAAAGTGTATGTAGATAGGATTTTAGATATATTAGATAAGTCCAAAGAATAATATATTAAAGTTCTAAATAAATCATTTAATTTTTTGTACCTTTAATTACATGTAACTAATAGATAACAACATCCTGCATTAGTATATTAGTACGTAACGATATATATATGAATATGATAGTAATACAACCAATATTATTGTAGAATAGCTGATAGTAATAAAAAATAAGAAATTTTGCGGAGTTTTTAAAAACACGTCTTTACGCCAAAAAATTACAACATTTTAATCAGTGTAATATATGTGAAAAATAACTAGGTCATAAAAAAGTGCAGGCTAACATGGAATGACTTATATTAGGTACGCGCACTGAAATTTTTATATTGATCATATAGTAGAATGTTATATATCATTAGATAGACCTTCAATACAGTATTTTAAAGGTGAAAAAATTATTAAAAACGAACAATTCTAAAAAAAGTTATAACATTTTTAGTATCAAATTTTAGATATATGGAATTATTGAAGAAACTGTGGTCAAAATAATTATTTTTTTCACTTTAATTGTTATAACTTTGTCAATTTTTATCCAAATACCTATATCTTGGTATCACAAGATAGGTGCACTAATGGGCTACAAGTTAATTTTGGTGCCTGGGTGTAGGGTGTATCTTGGGAGCCAGAAGGGGTAATGAAACAGCATCTAACCCTTCAGAAAATACAAGTTTTTGTCAGAAATAAGCACTTTTTAAATGTAATTGTTATATTTTATACACAAAATTTTGCCATAACTTGATTCCAAAACACTGCCAAACAAAATAACGTGACCTTAGAGTTGGTCATAGATGTGGTTGTGATGTTATAACACCCTAAATACAATAATAATACTTTCTAATATAATAAATAATTTAATCTTTTTTACAGTAATTAAATATTTTGTTAAAAAGTAAAAAATTTTTTTTTTTACTATAAAACATTTATTAGTGATGTACAACACTAACTTTAGGGGAGGGTGTATGTCGCACCGCCCCCCCCCCCCCCCGACTCATAAAAAATAAAAATAATTTTATCTTTATTACAATAATTAAATCCACTGTTAAAAATTGAAAATACTCTTTTATTACTATTTAACATATTATTGATGTATATTGATACATTGAAACGAAGGAAGTATGATGCACCACCTCTCCCCATCCCCCACCTGACAAAAAATAATCTTTTATAACTATACAACATACATTAGTATTGAAAATATTGTTGTATTACATAAAGCAATATTTTTTTACTATAGAACATACATTAGTGATGTACAATTTGAGGAGAGAGATGGTTTTCCCCCTTCCCCTCAACCAACATAAAAAAGAAAACACATAGAAATGACATTTTCAACACTTTCACATGCAATTATTAAAAAAGATTAATACATAATTGTCTTACCAGATTACAAACTGCACTAGTATACATTTTCTCATTTAAATGATCATATTTAACCCACCAACCTAATAAAAAAAAATAAAAAATAAAAATGTTTTGAAACATAGTAATTACTCTATGTCTTGGCTTTTAGTAAATGATATTAATTTTAAGTTCGAAATGACCTATAAGCTTCATATAACAAAACACAAAAGTATTAAATAGATTATATAAATAGGAATAGGAGGAACTCAATAATTAATCAGAGACATTCCAGATTCATAAATTTACTGTTTGAAGGTAGTACAGATAGAACTAAAATTAAAATTTGTTTTAATAAAAAATACAAATTGCAAATGGTAATAAATGCATTCATAGTCTAAAAAGTAATAATTTTTAAACTTACTTGGCGTGACAGCTGAAGATGTAATTATCTAAAAAAGGTTTTAATTAAAAACCAGTTGATAAGAAATGCAATTTCAAAAAAGAATATGCAATTGATAAGAAATGCATACACATGTTAAAAGAAAAAAGGTTTTGAAACTTACCAGGCGTAGCACACGTAGAAAGAACTAAAGGTAAAAAATATATTATAAAAATCAATATTGCAATCAATGATAAATTTGTATGCATTAAAAAGAGTTCTTGCACAAGAGGTAGATACTAAAATTACAAAGTTGTAACAAAAAATCAATATTTTAAAGAACGAGAAATGCATACACATAAAATGTAATAATTTTTTAAATTACTAGTTGCAGCACATGACTAAGAAACTTAAGTTAAACATATTGTAAAGTTTGCACATTTCTTCAATGGTTAATAAAAGTTATGCTATAATAACTTACCAGTTGTAGTCTGTGCATATTGGACTAAAGATAACAAAAAACTTGTATAATCAAAAAAAAAACATCTTGAAATTGTCAACAGTCAATAAAAATAACAGTTATTAAATCAGTTCTGCTTTACATACAACAATTTTACTAACAAAAAAAAGGTATGAAAAAATAATAAAAAACAAATTAAATTACTGTATTTTAAAATTATATTACTGTATATTAGAAAAACACTAACAAGATATTTTTATAAGAATAAACTTATTATTGTAAAAGTATCTTGATATTTTTACATAAAATAAGCTTATTATTATATACATATTTTGTCAAAACGTTATTGGCTTAAGCCAATAATATTTTACTTTAATGTATAATAATGTTGTTTGTATATTTTTATATATATGGTGTATTAACAACATTGGTATCTGATACTATTAGTTAATAAAATATTCCAAAGTAACGGTTTAATCTTAAATCCTAATCTTTTTAAATATACCATCATTGGTATATATTACCATCATTGGTATATATAGTTTAAAAAACCTTAATCTTTGTTTACATGCAATGTAAACAAAGATTAAAGTTTTTAAACTTATAACTTTTTGTTTTTTAAAAAAGTTATTATTATGAAAAACATATTAACTTACTTTTTGAAGTTTTCTATATTCCAAAACTTTCACTATCTTTATTTGAATTTTAATCTAATATTAAAATTTAAATTAATTCAATGTAGTAATTTTTTTGTTTACATTCCGCTTCCCCCCTATCCTCCCCCGTATATTTCTTAACGATAAAACAAAAACACAAAAAACCGAATTTAGGTACCAGAAGTCCTACACTTCTTAAGCTATCTGCCCCCAATTATTTTTTGCTGAAATTTGGCATGTGCAAAAAAAATGCATGTAAAAAATTGCCTGAATAACAAAAAAAGCGGACACGACATTCCTTCGACAACAAATTAATGTGAGAACATCAACGAAATTTTCTTGAAAGTTTTCAGCAAAACTAACCATAAAAAAGTTTATTGATTATACATAAAAGTACTATAAAAATCAAGCCTAACCTTTCTTCTTTCCAAATATAACTTTTGTTTATATATGTTTCTAAAAAGAAAAACCACAAAAAACGTTTGTCTAACCCTACCTAAAAAAAGCAGTATATTTAATAAAGCACCTTGTAACATATCTGCTCCCAATTATTTTTCGTTGAAATTTGGCACATAAATAGAAATTGCATGTAAAAAACTGCCTGAATAACAAAAAAAGCAGACGCGACATGCCTTCGACAACAAATTCATGTGAAAACATCAACTAAATATTCAGGAGCAAAACAATCTGTTAAAAAGTCTAGTAACCATACAAAAAAGTTTTAAAAAAGTAAAGATAAGCTTCTCTTCTTACCAAAAAGTATCTATGTGTATACATGTTTCTAAAAAGAAACATCACAAAACTACGTTTACCCCACGCTGCCTAAAAAGAAGTGAAAAAAATGAGTCACAAAATTTTAGCACAAAAATCGGTTCCGTAAATCACGATATGCGCGTACCTACTTATATGTACCTTTTTGCATGTCACACCATTTGTGACACCTTATTTGCAATTCACACTACTTGCAGGTACTTTTTGCAAGTCACACCAATTGCTGTACTTATTTTTCAAGTCATGCCACTTGCAGTACGTTATTTATATATATGTAAATAATATATATTTACATAACATTTAGCTTTATTTATATAAATATATCAATATATCTTATATCACAAAACAGTCTATCATATGTACACATTTAAAACCACATTATAAATTTATGAAAATAATAACTCTTCTGATATAACATCATCTGCAAGATGGAACTTATTCATACAATAGCCAACAACTTCTGAATTGGTTTTTTCAATTTTCCATTAAAAAATAGTTCTGTCTGTTTTTAGTAAGAAATAGTATAGTTCTTTTAGTAAGAAACAGTTAAGCTGTATTTATTTTTTCTACTTGCTTATCATACATTACAGACATGCTGTTAACTGTATCAAACCATTCATGAAAAACTTCTCTCCCTACAATTCTTTCTGGCATTATTTCATTTAAACCAGCAAGTTGCTTGTTAGACAAGTGTTTGTATAAATTCTTCGTATAATTAAAAGATATCTCTCCAGCTCTTTCTTTCTTTTTCATCAATTTTTTGCCTTATGTATGTCTGTCTTTTTGAAATTTCTGCTTGTAATGCAATATGGTTCAGTCTTTTTTTTTCACAAGCTGCATTAATAGGCATTTTTCTGTATATTAGATTTATACTTTCTAGATAGTTTATTGTTCTATTCTTTTTTGATAAGGGGATCTTAATTTAGTTTCACTGAACATACCCATTAATTCTTCCCTATACAAAACAGTACAGATAGATTTGATTTTCAATCATTAATTGTTGTCAAAATATCCTTTACTACTTGTATACTAGTGACATGATAAAAACTTTCTCATCTGAGAAATAAAATTTGTCATTTTCAAAAAATCCCAAGCATACACAAATGCTGCTCGCAAAACTAACTGTAAAGTACCACATTTTACTGTTCCAGTGGTCAGAAAACATAGAATATTTTTTCTCTTTAAATTTTCTTTTAAAATTGGCCTATTTTCCAAGTTTTAAGTTTTGCTTGTGGAAGCTAAAGCTCACTTCTAATAGGAGATAATACATTGATGTACTCTGACAATATTTCAACTGAAGAACATGATAGAGTATAAAAATTACTACAAAGGGTAGGCTGTAATAATTGTCAGGTTGTCAACACTGGTTTAAGAAAAGGGTTTGTTGTAAAAGCAAAGAAATGCTTCTCATATCTTTTGTTGTTGACAGCTAACTTTTTAACTATATTCACAAGGCTTTGAATATTATTTGCAGTTATGTTATAGCCAAAATACTCATAGACTTTTTCAAGAGTTTTATTATATAATTCTACATTATTAATAAATACAAAAAGTATATGTCTGTTCCTACACATTTGTTTCAAAAGACAAAAAACAAAACTTTTTTTAAGGGGCCATAAAATCTATAAAAATGGATGTATTAAGCATTCAAGTAAATTTTTTTAAGCATTTGTATTTATTAAAATACAAATACTTACAAACCTTCCTCTCCCCTGCCCCCCTATCTCCCTAAAATTGATATGAAAAAAATAAAATTAGATACTAAAAGTGCAGGTAAAAATAGGGAATATACAAAATAAAATCTTGAAATTTGGCATGCCCATAGAAAATGTATAAACTTAAGCAAAAGAGTAGGATAGAAAAAAATAAGAGCATATCTTCCACATTTATAAAACTCACGAAATGCAACATAGTTCTAGATGTCATTAAATTATATGTTAATGTTTCTCAATAAAAAAAAAAACTAAACTGTAAAATAATTTGACTATTCTACTTTTTAAAAATATTCTATATTAATATAAAGTTCTAAAAACCTATTCGACAAAACACCATCACATAAATTTATTATGTTGTCAAAGTAAGTTGTACAATATTGCAAAAAAAAAAAAAGTTTAACTAAAAGCAGTGCTCCACAATCTCCATTACCTCACAACAAATGACAGCATTAATATATTGGTCTATAAAGTAAAATAGTATTTGATTTTGACAGCGCAAAAAATATCAGGATGTGCAAGTGCCTAAATTACTGGAATTTCTGTTATATAGATTTAATGATCAATGTGTTATTATAAGTGCTTAACTTATTTCATTAACTTGATTTTTGTTTCATTTAATTCTAATGTTGTTTTTATTTGTTTCTTATAATTTTTTTTATTGACTGTTTTAACGTGCATAATACTTATATTTAAAATTATTTCTTTGTTTTGTATATTTACACTTAAGTTAAAGTTGAAATATTTACTGTATTAGGTATCCGATACTTGTTAACTAATTAAAAGTTAAGAAACATAACTATTTAAAAGTTATGAAACATAATTAAAAGTTAAGAAACATAAATTATTTAAAAGTTATGGAAAAAGAACTGGATAGCAACTCTTTTTGTGCTACAATATTTCTAAACTTTTAGAAATCCTTACATTAGTGATTACTGCGAATAAAATTACAGTTACATTGAAGCAGTCTAAATTTTTCGCTTGTTGCTTAAAGTTGCTACTTTTTAATATAAACTTTAAGAATTATTATTACTCTAGTACATACATCGACTATCTTATAGCCTGCTGCAAAAAGAGAGTGTTGCTACATTGATTATCTTATAACCATGTTGCTACATCGACTATCTTATAGCCTGCTGCTATAAAGAAGTGCTGCTACATTGGCTAAGGGTTAGGCATGGAGCAGCAATCTTTTTTCTTTTATTATTTTAATTAAAATTCCTAATGTATAAAAAGCCTCCACTGATGAGAGCGCAACAAGCAAAAAAAGTTAAATTATTTTAGACTGCTCAACTGTAGCTTTACCTAAAATTACATTGTGTTTGTTAGGAATTTTGTATTTTTTACCTAGGTTTACCCATAGTTCTTCATTGCCCTGTAGTACAATGATTTTTGAATTTAATTAACACAGTCTGTGCCACAAATCTTTAAAAAAAAGTAAAAATTAAATTCCAACATTCCAGCTTAAAATATTGTAATTCCGGCCGGAACCAGATTGACCTCAAAATCACAAATTCTGGTCGGAACAGAATTCCGGTACATTCTTAACAATTTCACTTTATCTTTTTCTTTTTTATATATGACTTAATTCTCAAAAAAGCAAGAAAAAATAAGTGCTAATAGTGAGACTTCTTAAAATAAGCAAAATTGTTTCTGAAGTATTATAAATTAATTATAAATAGTACTTCTAAAAACATTGAACATACTGACTTTATTTATTTGTTGTTGATTCATACTAATATATATATAATATATTCATACTAATATATATATAATATATATATACTATATTATTGTTTCTCCTAAATATGTTATGTTGCCCCTAAATATAAAACAAAGTACAATAAATTTTTTTATTTAGAAATCAGGTTTTACATTATATATGGCAACAGATTGATACGTACCAGAAATCCTTACTATTGCCACTTGAGGATTTTTTAAAAGGAGTCATAGAGGAGCATAAAACTGTGTATAGAAAATATCAGGATATAGAAAATACATTACACTTGTAAGTATATTTAGTTACGATTTTGTTTTTTAAAGTTAAATGTGTAGTTAAACAAATTAGTTTACACAATGTTTAGTTTTATAATTCTTTGTTATTGAAAATAAGTTAAAAAATTTGTGCATAGTTTTGTTTAAAAAAAAATTTAATTGGGTAAAGGTGTTTTATATTTTACGTGAGTTTGTGGATTTTTGGGTGAGTATTTTGTTTGAGTTAGTGTGACACAGACAATCATGGTTATTTCTCCTTATTCTTAGATGACTAAATCATTTTATCTCAGAAATTTTGAATAATTTACAAGAATTGTCATTAACAAAGTCTATAAAAGTGCATTTCCTTAAACTTATCTCTTGAATTAAATTACAATATTTTTCCTGACATCTCAGACCAACATTTTAAAATTATTTTTCATTTAAAATTTTCTGCAGCTTGTGGTTTAAACAACATTTCTTTATTATGTAAAAGTGTTCTTAGAACTCTCTTTAATGCTCTCTGAACTATTTTACAAGAGCTTAACTAAATTTTTTCTAAATTGATTTCTAATTTGTTAACTTTTAAAAAAAGGTTTTTATAATGCATTTGATTAAAGTTGTGAGGTAGGAACCTCACAACTTTAATCAAATGCATTATAAAAACCTTTTTTTAACTAGTGGTTTTCTCCATAAGCTCTCATCATATGGTTCTTCATAAGTTCTCATAAGTTTTTTCAGTTCTCGACATATTTACCAAAAAAATCAAAATTTATTGAATCTTTTTTAGTTTCAGTGTTAATATTGTCCTTGTTGCAAACACTCTTCATTTCTAGTAACCTCTGGGGTACCACAAGGTTCCATTCTTGTCACCTATTATTTCTCATCTACACTAATGATCTTCCAGATATTCTTACCTCTTAAGTGGCTCTATTTGCTGTTGATACAACTATATATTATAATCTTGATAAAAAATTATAACTAAATATTTGTCCTTGTATGTCCTATATATGTTGTCATATTTGTCCTTGTATGTCCTATATATGACTGTTGTCATATTTGAGTTGGGTCTTCTAATTATGACTTTCTATTGTAAAGTAATATCTTTTTCTATTTTTTACAAATACTGACATATTTGTTGCTCAAATAGACATCTTTTGATTTTCCAACCATAAGTCAGTCTCATGTAACTCTGTTACATTATTTGCTGTAACTTCATGTTTGTTTAGACTTAAAAAACTTTTATATTTTACTCTTTATTTTTACTGTAGATATCATGCTTTTCAATTCTTTCTGTTTTTCTGATTCATTTTATTGCAGCTTTTTAATTATTTTTTTGGTTGCTCCATCTTTTTATATTTCCTAATAACTTTTACCTTAAATAGTGTATCCTTTTAAACTTAAATAGTGTAGCCAGTAGTCTTGTAGAAGGTGAGTTGAAAAAAATCATGACTAAACTAAATATATAGCATAGAATGATGAATGTAAATAAGTTGTCTGCAAGGATAAAATTGTAGTATATTTATAAGCAATTATTTTAAAGATGAATTTTTTAACATTAATTTTAGAAAAATAGCACAGCAAGAATTTGAATTAGAAAATATATATGAGGAGTTTGATAGAACAATGAAAGAAGAACAAATAAAAAATGATAAAAAGGTAAAACATTTTATAGAAAGCTATTTGATGTGTGATTATATTTGTGTTTATAATGATATCTGAAAAAAATTTTAATGTGCTTCTTTTTCTCTTCTTTTTTTTTTTAAATGTAAAACTTTTCTTATATTGTTTTATTTTTTTTTTTAATGCAACACTTTTTTTATATTTTTTTACTTGTTCTTTTTTTTTTAGTATATGGAACGAGAAGAATTGCTAAAATTACAATTTCGTAATGCATTAGATATAAAAGAACAAAATTTTCAAGAGAATGTAAAAAATTTAATTGAATCAAATGAAAAGCTGAAAGCATATGAAGTAGAAATATCAAAGCTGATCAGTTGTAATAAGAAAGTAAGATTACCCATTATAACAATATATATACTGTAGAGTTTATTTGAAAGTTAATAAAGTTTGAAAATAAATTTAGTTAGAGGATCAAAATCAACATCTCTTCAGGGAACAGCAGGCTTTAAACTCTACAATAGATATTATGGCACATGAAAAAGAGTTAATGGAGCATCGAATATCTTATTATGAAGAAAATAATCGAGAGTTGCAAGAGATAAACAATCAATTTGTACTAAAATCAGAACAAGAAAGACAGAAGTACATTAAGTAATTTTATACACATATTTTTAATTGTTTTTAAAAATGTTTTTTCTAAATATTTGTGAACTAAATAATTTTTTAAACATAGCTTCATTCGCCAATTTAAAGATATGCTGGAAGAAAAAGAATTTCTTGAAGCTAATTTATCAAACTTATCTTTTGAAAATAATGAACTAAAGTAAGATATTTTTAATTATATATCTTTTATGTTTTTATAAGCAATGAATATATTTTAATATTATTTCATTTTATTTTTATTATACTATAATAAAAATACAATGAAATAATATTAAAATAATAATAAAAAATATATAAATATATTATATTCATATTTATATAAAAATATATAAAAATAAAAATAATTAAAATAATAATAAAAAATAAAAAAGTAAAATAAAATTAGTATTAAAGTAAAGTAAAATAAAATTATATAACCTCTAAACTCATGTTATTATATTATTATGTTTACATATTCAACCTCTAAATTCATGTTGTTATGTTATTATGTTTACATATACAACCTCTAAACTCATGTTATTATGTTTACATATACAACCTCTAAACTCATGTTATTTTGTTATTATGTTTACATATACAACATATATATACATATTATAAATATGCACACATAAAGGGCTCAACAAATTTTATTTTATTTTATGACGAAAATTTAACATTCGTTTTAATATTTATGGACAAATGTCTTACGGTCTTCTCTGTTTTTAAATTATGGCAAGCATTTTTCCGGCTGGTTGTGCAAGAATTTGTGAAAACTAAATTCTATTTAAATTTCTATAAAAACGCTAAAACAAACATTTTATTTATATGCTAACTTATGAAAATAAAAACCAATAAATGAATGTTTTTTTTTAATTATTCAAGCTCTAGCTAAAATAATTAAAATAAACACAGCAAAACAAATGTTTTATTTAAGTTCTAAAAAAATAACTTAAATAAAAGCGCCAAGACAAAGGTTTCATTCAAATTTTAAATAAAATAGATAAAATAAAAATAAAA